GTGTGTGACAATATGGTCCCCAGCTACAGTCAAGGGCACCCCATGTATGCATTTGCTCTTCCACTAAGGCCATCATCTGAGAACCACGCATAACTGGGGCTGGAATGGGAATTCCAAGGCTGGTACCTCAGATAAGAAACCTAAAGGGAAAGTGTGGGATAATCTCTCACCGACACTGGCAGCAAAACTCTGGGGCCACTGGATACCTTCAGGGCTGCTGGGCTGAACAGTGCCGATTTGGGAGTCCAGCTATACTGAGGCCACTGACCGCATGTCCACTGACCCTGCCAGAAACCCAAATCCCTCCAATTGAATCCAGCTCTGTGGCTTTGTTTTCTACCTTCCTCCCTTGCAGCCCTGCCCTCATGTGGTAAGCAAGGCTCTACCACTGAGTTACACTCCAGCCCTTTTATTTGATTTCGGACACAAAGTCTCACTAAGTTGCCCAGACTGCAGTGGACTTGCAGTCCTCCTGACTTAGCCTCCCTTGTAGCTGGCATTACAGCCATGTACCGCTGCATCCAAGCTCCTGTTCTTACAGCACTAAGGAACCCTAACATCCCAAGGTCCTCCCTGGACAGGACACTTGCATTAGGGAATTTCAGTTCAAGGCTCAAATCTTATGGCAAATACCAGGTAAGAGGAAAAGCTGCTTTGAAAGAAATCACTGTCTTACCTGAAGAATAAACAGTAAGGGGTCAGGCAGAGATGGCCTCCGAGCAGCTGGAGTTACACGTGCCACTGAGGGTAGGGTAGGGAGAGGCTGGGGGAGCCACCAGGGTCTCCTGACAAGGGAAGGTAAGTCGAGGCAGGAGGGGAAGAGTCAGAGAGGGTGCTGATTGCCAGCCTGCACACTGGGAGGGAGGGCCAGGCGTGGCTCTCTGGGGGTGGGGTCGTAGCAGGGAAGAGGTAACCTGGGGCGCTGGCTCCCATGCACAAGTGCAGGGGCCCTGTCTTGCAGGGCCAGTGCTGCCCACCTGGTGCAGAAGGATGGACAGGGACTCGGTGCAGGGTGTGGAGACCTTGGCAGGAGCAGCATGGGGGCAAATGGGGAAGGAAACCCCACTGATGTGAGTTCAGGAGAGAAGGGGAGCGGAGGAATTGGGGACAGCACAGAGAACTCCCTTCCCCCTTCCCACGGGGCAGCAGTAGGGATCCAGTTTGATCCGCCGAGACTGTCTGGCCGCAGCCACCACCTTGCCTGCCTGGCAAGCGAGAGGAGGAACCAAGCTTTCCAACAGCTGCCTCTGCGGTGCCTCCCACCCGGTTACTCCTCAGCTGATGCTTGTGCTCAGGGTTTTTGAGAAAGGCCAGGTCCTTGTCGACCAGAGGAGCCACCTCTGTCTCACTGGGCACATAAGCCCTTCCTGAGCCTCGGGTGCAGGGTCCTGTGCCCAAGCCCCGAGCGAGGGACACTCAGTGTGCTGCCGCAGCCATCTACCTCCTTCTTTGGCTGCTCAGCCCCTTTAACTTCATTCGCTAAGGCTGATATGAGAGGTGCACAGAGATCTGCAGAGGGCATTTGAGAGAGAAGAGTCAACGGAGGACATTTTTTAAGATGGAAAAAATTAGCTCACTGAGACAGCCTCATGTGCAGGTGGCGAGCAACAATGGAGAGGGGCACATGGCCTGTGACTCCTCAAGAGGCTGAGGGGAGGGAACTCCAGCTGTCTTCAGGCCTCTGTAGGTAGCAGCCCCAGGCGACGCTTCGAAGTACAAGTGAAAGGGCTCTGTCCTTCTGGGTTGGAACAGGAGGAGCCCAGACTGGGCCCCAGGGCTCTCCTCTGCTCCTGGAAGGCAGCACAGGAACTGCATTCCAAGCGACACAGGGCTTGATTTTTGTCTTTTTTTTTTTTAATTTTATTTATGTGTGTGTGGCCAGCTCAGCCCACCAGGGGGCGGGGCTGGCTGGCATGTGGTGCTGGGGGATTGAACCGCGGTCGCTGTGCTTTGCTAAGCTTGTTCTAAGTAGGTGCTTTAGACCACTGAGCCATCTCACCAGCCCTTGATTTTTGTCTTAAGAAGCCCAAGGAAATGTTCTTGAGCAATGCCCCGATGTCGCGTACATCCAAGAAGTCCTTAGGACTGACTGCAGGCCGCATGAGTGCCCGAGGGGACAGCGCCATTGGTAGGCGGTCTCAGTACAAGCCTGGGACTCCCACCGAGCAGTGCCCTTAGCGTCTAAGACCCTAGACTGGACTGGCGGTCAGCGAGTGCTTACCGGCACGTGTGGGAACCCGGTCCCGTCCCCAGCCCTGGGGAGGAGCCAGTCCCTTGACTCTTGATTCCTCTTGAAGTTCACGCCAGACAAAGGCTCAGTTCCCACCGGCGGGAGAACGGGACAGGGATACCTCAAAACTCTGAGCTCAGCTCACCCGCCCTTTTCCAACGGCTCTTTTTGCCGCCTGCTCCCGGGTGGCTTTGCATCTGCGGGCTGTGGTCTCTCAGGTAAGAGGACCTGCTGCTCCATCGCAGTGTTGCACAACTGCAGAGCCTGGAGCAAAGATATTCTCGCGGATTCCGGCTCCTTTCAGAAAGCAAAAGCAGCCCTGCATCTAGCCCGCTTCCTTCCCACCCGCCCTCTGGCGGCTACCTGCAGAATCACACCCTCCCGCTGGGGCAGAGCCGGTGCGCGGTTCCTATCCCGCATCTTCACCTGATACCACACAAGTGTCAGCTCTGCAGGGCGCCCCAGAGACCAGGTGAGCCAACCCTCTCCACTTACAGCGGAGGAAATGGAGACCCAGCCTGCACGCACTGAGCTAGTTAGTGGCGAGGCCAAGGCGAGGGCCTAAGGCCCTCCCAAGCCCCAGTCGATCAACAGGGAACCATTCCATAAGTATTTCCTCCATGCCTGCCAGATGGCACCGTGAGCCGCAGGTGAAAGACCCTGCTGCTGTCCTTAAGCATGAACTCCGCCAGAAGCCAGCCGGGCCTGCACAAAGGTCATTCCACGAAAGGGCTGCTCTAGGGGAGGTCAAGCTGCAGGGCAGGGGCAGCCCAGCGGCCGGCAGGAGGCAGAACGGCTGCCTCAGGCTGGGGCAGGGCTACAGAGGGGTGTGGTGTCCAGTGTGTGCCGGTGTGCGAGTGTGCCCAGTGTGTGCGAGTGTGCACCGGGCAAGAGCGAGGCGGGGTCTGCCGGCCTCGAGGAGCTCCGGGACTCAGCCTGTGTCTGCAGAGGCGGCTTGGCTTAAAGATCCGCGCAGAAGCGGGTCACGACGATGAGCGAAGTGGCGCCGTCAGCTGTACTGGTTCGCTGCCTGTCTCTCGCCACAAACGCACATGGGAGGCCGAGAAGAAGAGAGGACCGAGAGTGGTGCCGCTGCAGCCCAGACCCGAGGTGGGCAACACGCCAAACGGGTGGGGTGGAGAAGACCCCCAAGTGTGCGGGCGGGACAGGGCGTGGGGGTTCCTTCCCTGCCGCAGGGCTGCGCAGGCGCGACCTCGGGAAGTCCTGGTGGGCACGCCCAGGCAGGGCCACGCCCTACACGGCAGTCCCCGCGCCCGGCTCTGCGCGCGGGTCCAAGAAAAGCACGGACTGCCTGGATGGGTTCCCCCTCTCCGCTGTGACAACATCACGGTACGCACGTGCCAAAACTTGTTTGTACATTTGAAACATGTGCAGTCAGCGCAGCATAATTAATTTACTTGGGCCGAATATGAACTGTATTATTGAATTTTTGATAATTACCACAGAAGAAAACAGGGTTAGTCAGCTTTGTGTTACTAGAATAGAGCACCTCAGCCGTTGGGAGCTCCTGAAGCTGGAAGGTAATTACCCGTGCGGGACGAAGCCAGCACAACACGGGAGCGCCCCCAAGAGTGTAAACAAGCAGTTGCCGCTTAACCGATTACAGGGGTAAAGCGCACATCAGCCGCTGGAGCGGATAAATAAATCCTACAGTTCCTGGAGGCTCCTCCCCTCCGCCTGACCCAGCTCTTGTCTCCTGTCCACCTTCTCATTCTCACCGCGGGTCCTATCCTGGTTACACCGCGAGCCCAACGAGTCCCTGCACTCAATCAAATATATAAAGAGAAAAGGTTCTGGAGGACCCATGTGAGCTAGCAGACACCACTGCAGGGCACAGATGGGGTGAAGGGCTGCGCCTGGGGCCAGGAGTGAGGGTGGGGTGGCCAGGCCTTGGGGACCTCACCTCCAGAAGCACCACTCCAAGGGGCCAAGACAACACACAATGGATGGGGGGACCATATTGGAACCCCAGCAACCTGCTTCATAGATTTCATCTTAGCTGCCTCTCACCTGCTGGTTTTAAGAGCGACCTTTTATAGTTCCCACTAAGATTGGAAGGAATAGAAGTTATGGGGCTGTCACCCTTTTACACTCTTTCAGAACCTCAGGCAGATGGGTGACACGGTCCCTGCGGCTCAGCAAGGTCCATTCTTATTCCCATTTTGCAGATGAGGAAACTGAGTCTCAGGTTACCGTGTTAGGGCGAGGCCCATGCCTTGGACGTCAGGTCAGGGACCCGAATCTAAGTGCCCAGGCCTCCTCCGCTCACAAAGTCCATGCAACTTCCCTCCCGGATTTCGTGTGTGCGTCTGCTATCGGGGATTGAACTCGGAGCTGTCGCACCCAGCTGCATCCCCTGCCCTTTATTTTTGACGCAGGGGCTCCTAAGTTGCCCCACGACTGGGCTAGGAGTCGCTGTCTTGCCTCAGCCTCCGTAGAGGGTCAGTCTCCGCGCAGAGGCTGGTGAGCGGAGGCATAAGGCAGTGGCCGTTCTCAGCCAAGTAGGGCACGGGTGGAAAGGGAGCGCCGCGCTGCGGGAGGTCAGCCAGGGCAGATGCGGCGCCAGCTTTGGCCCAGGACAGCTGCTTGTCAACAATCTGGGCGCGGTGGGGATGAGGAGCGCGGCCCAGGAATCCTGCGAGCGCCTGGCGGGACCCGGGCCTAAAGCCAGCCTCCCGCTCGCACCCAGGGAAGTAGGTGCTCCGCCGGCCCCGCCCTGCTACAGCCCCGCCCCCGCCTGCGTCGCGCAAAGCAAGCGCCGGCGCGCTCGGCCTCTCGGCGCTCGCACGCTCAGGTCTGGCCGGCGGTGGCGACGGCGGCGGCGGATAACGTCGGGAGTCCGGCCGAGGGCCGAGGTGTTCAGGCGCGGCATGGAGGAGTCACAGGCCGCCGCAGGCGGTGGCGTGTCACTGCACAACTTCAGCGCCAGGCTGTGGGAGCAGCTAGTTCACTTCCACGTCATGCGGCTGACAGACTCACTCTTCCTGTGGGTGGGGGCCACGCCGCACCTGCGCAACCTCGCTGTGGCCATGTGCAGCCGCTACGTAAGTGCGCGCGCCAGGCGGGGCCTAGCATGGGTGTGGGGGCGGGCATGACACGGCGGGGCGGGGCCTGGCCTGGGTGTGGGGCGGGGCCTGGCCTGGCCGGGCGG